ATGGAAATATGACACATTTTAGCTAGAGTTCCCACACTTAACATTCTATCAAAAAGCTCTCATTTTTTAAACAAACTAAATGTGCCAAAATAACTTCTGACAGTGCAAGAATAATAAAAACATGTTATTAAAATGATTATTGCAATTCAACACCAATCCAGATACCAGTAACTTGGATCCCACTTATTTATAATCTCAAACCATATTTTGCATAAACTGTTTGCATATGCCAAGAGTTTTGATAAAAGTTATTAAAGCTAAGCAACAACGTGATAAAAAGGGAAAAAGAGGAGCAAGTCTGGATAATTGAAAAATTCAGAAACTTAAGGCCTAGACAAGCAAAGCTTGATGGTACCTATATCACTCGGCAGACTCCTGGAGGGTAAAATTGTCTGGCCTTGTGCATGAAATATACACGTGCCGTTCTTATTTTCATTAAAGTTTCCCCCATTCTCACTGAATATTACACTTGATCAATCACAAAATAATGATCAACTGTCTGTCTCCTAAAATCATGAATTCAGATTTATAATAATAAAAAAAAACCATCAACTTTATAAGAAATGAAAGAACAGCTTCATGCACATTTGCATTGCAAACTCAAATTTAATGATCAATTAGGTTGAAAGCAAATTAAGATAAAATAAATTGGTAAAAAGTATGGAAGCCAAAAAGGGATAATCCAAAAGTAATTTGCAAATCTGAAACCCTAACCCTAGCCCAGAATCAATATCTTTTAGTCAAATTGCTTTTGAGAAGTTTTTCTAATCAAGAAAACAATTTCAAATCCGTGTTTAAATTCTAGATCCACAAATAACTTTCTTGAAAATCAAAATTAGTTTTCATTCCTACATTCCTCGTATGACACTTGCACCAGTATTTAGTGCTCTGTCAGGAGACAGGACATGGTTAGTGTGTTGCACTTGAAACAACAGGTCAACTTGGAGTCACCGCATAAATGGACTAAGCTGAACCAAGTGTGTTGGGATGTTCTGCCACAAATGTGATCAAAGAAATTTGTGGGCAATGGGATATTTAAATTATGCATTGATGTGGAACATTAAAGAGACCAGAGCAGAAAAATGTGTTGCTCAGTTCGTCTCATGAGAGATCTGCCACAATTGAACATTACTTTCAAAGAGGATTTCATTATGATACTATTGTTCAGTTTTTAGAAAAATACCACAATGGTATTTCAGAAAAATCTATGAACTTGAGGATCACTCTTAGAGAAGGTTCTGTAAGTTTGAGCTGAGAAGGGAAAATGAAGTCCATTCAGTGTACAAAGCTTGGGAAATAATTAAACATAAAATTGAAGGCCTTTCATCACCTCTTGGATATTGTGGGATGTGGAACAGGCTGATGTGTTGCTGTCTATCCTCTTTAATTCATTCTGCTACTTGCTGAAGCCTTCTACAGTCAGTCACAAGTGTGATACGTGACAAAAGAGTTTTCTTGATTTATGAAAACTTTCCGGATCTTGGATACATTCTAAGAAAGTAAACTGTTTTCGATTTTCCGGAAGTTATTTGTGTGGATCTATGAATTAAACCTGGATTTGAAATTGTTTTCTCCATTTATATTTGACCACTTTTAAAAAAGTAATGTGTGAGAGATAGTGATTCTAAATGTTTCTACTAATTTTTAAACTATGTTTGGATTGTCCCTTTTTAGTTTCTGTCGTCGCAGTGATTTCTTGACACCAGCTAGCTTTTAAACACATTTATATATTTACATCACACTAGACAGTATGTTCGCAATCTTGTCTTCTCCCTACAACGCTCCCTTAACTGGTCTAAACCGGTTTCTATGACGTCACGTTTCACGTTACACAATTGTCAAGTCTTTTGTTCCGACACTGTGAAAAAGTATGGGCTGACAGAACATCAAGGAAAAATATCTTAAAGGAATTCTTTCTGAGACCTTTTACTTCTATTGGTCCATATTACACACTTCCTCTAAACCTCTGATTAATGTTTTAGTAGAGGGAAAGAATTGATATAATCACATGTTGAGATATGTGATCTATTTCTTGAATCTAAGGTGAAGAAAGTTAATCAACATTATTAATATTCCTTAATGATCATCTTATTTTTAAGAATTGCTTTTCTTTTTCATGCACAGAGAACTGAAATTAAAGAAATAAAAACAACCAGCTTTTGTAATTAGCTTACAAAGATGCAAGTCTATTCTAATACTCAATAGTTGTCCTTCTTTTAAACTTTTGATTCTAAATGAGGCTGAAAATAACTTTTCTTTTGAAATTTTAATCATTATACATAAACATAAATGAGTTCAACAATGCAAGAAGACGAGACTGAACAGCCTGGCTCAAATGGATTGCCTTGAGGGAATTGAGATTGAATTTACTTTAGTTATTTAATGTACCCTTAAGGTTGATTGATTCTTGAGTAATTAATTATAGGATAGATTTTCTTAATATGTAGAAATATTTTAGCAGTAATGTAGTTTCTTTAAAAATTTTCGTTANTATATATTTACATCACACTAGACAGTATGTTCGCAATCTTGTCTTCTCCCTACAACGCTCCCTTAACTGGTCTAAACCGGTTTCTATGACGTCACGTTTCACGTTACACAATTGTCAAGTCTTTTGTTCCGACACTGTGAAAAAGTATGGGCTGACAGAACATCAAGGAAAAATATCTTAAAGGAATTCTTTCTGAGACCTTTTACTTCTATTGGTCCATATTACACACTTCCTCTAAACCTCTGATTAATGTTTTAGTAGAGGGAAAGAATTGATATAATCACATGTTGAGATATGTGATCTATTTCTTGAATCTAAGGTGAAGAAAGTTAATCAACATTATTAATATTCCTTAATGATCATCTTATTTTTAAGAATTGCTTTTCTTTTTCATGCACAGAGAACTGAAATTAAAGAAATAAAAACAACCAGCTTTTGTAATTAGCTTACAAAGATGCAAGTCTATTCTAATACTCAATAGTTGTCCTTCTTTTAAACTTTTGATTCTAAATGAGGCTGAAAATAACTTTTCTTTTGAAATTTTAATCATTATACATAAACAT